ATCCTATACTATGGTTCAGCACCTGTTCCTAGTGTCTGATCCTATGCTGTGCTTCAGCACCTGTTCTTAATGTCCGATCCTACACTATGGTTCAGCACCTGTGCTTCAGGACCATGCAGGCTATGGTTAGGATGTTTGGCCTGTAGCTTCCTGGAGTGAAGGGCATCCAAGGTCACAGGAGTCAATATGGCTTAAGTTAAGGAACCCTGAAGGGCCAAGTTATAAGCTAATGCGGTGACGCGGTGTCCATCGTCCGTCCATCTGACGTCAATATTTTAAACAACTTCTTCTTAATACCCACAAGGCCTAGGGTGATGATATTTGGCCAGAAGCAAACTGGGATGAAGGGCTACACAGTTTGTTCATATAAATGACCTTCACCCATATTCAAGGTCACAGGGGACAAATATATTTAAAATCTTTAAACAACTTCTTTTGAATAACCAAAAGGCTTTGGGTGATGATATCTGGCTTGTAGTATGCTCGAATGAAGGGCTAGCAAGTTTGTTCATATGAATGACCTTGACTAATATTCTAGGTTACATGGGTCAAATATGTTTAAAATCTCTAAACGAATGTTGATATTTTGCCCTAAGCATGCTTTGAAGAAGGGCTGACAAGTTTTTTAAAACTAATGACCTTGTCATTTATTCAAGGTCACAGGGGTCAAATATGTTGAACATCTTTAAATGACTTTTTCTGAATAACCAAAGGGCCCAGGATGATGATATCTGGCCAGTAGGATGAAGGGCTACCAAATTTGTATATATGAATAACCTTCACTCATATTTAAGACCACAGGGGTCAAATATGTTTAAAACTTTAAACGACTTCTTCTGAATAACCATAAGGCCTAGAATGTTGATATTTGGTTAGTAGCATGCTTTGATGAAGGGCTATCAAGCTTTTTCATTTGAATGACATTGACCCACTTTCAAGGTCACATTAAGTAAAATATGTATAAACATTTAATTGACCTTATCTCAATAAACAAAAGGTCTAGGGTGGCGATATTTTTTAAAAATTGCATGCTGAGATGAAGGGCTATAAATTTGTTCAAATGAAGTAATACAGTAATAAAGCATTTTTGCTGAAGTAAAGGTCCATCATGTTTCATCACAGAAGTTGAATGTGTTAAAACTTTAAACATCTTCTTATAAACTATGGAACTTATTGTAATTCTATATACACTAGTACGTAACATGCTTGAGTGATAAGTTAATTATCAAAAGTTTTCAAACAATTGACCTTGAACTAGATAAGTTTTAATGTAAGCAAGGGATCAAATGTGTCAAAATGTTCAAACAACTTCAAGAATAAGGATGCATAAAATTAAGTATAGTGGTTTTGTAAGAGAATCCTTTTTGGTGAATTAGATCATGTTTACCCAAACACAAGGTCATAGTCATGTTAAAAGCTTTTCTAGGACCACTAGAAAACTAGGCTTATATTATTTGACATGTTACTTACAGGAGTAAATTGCTATGAAATTTGTTCAAATAAATGACAAAATGTGAAGTTCTATTTGGCCATAAATCTGCATGCATTCATGCCCTTTATTGATTTGATTTGTGAAAAATCTCTTTAAAGCAAAACCTATCGTGATAATGTTAAATCAGTGGTTTACCAGAAACTGTTATGTTAAATTAAATACTCATAACCAGGGATTCATGCTTAATTTGTGGACTGAAGTATTTCTATAGGAATATTGGTTGATTTCAAGGTTGGACAAACATGGGTTCAGCGACATACTAATATGGCATTAAAATTGTTACTTGTTCAAATTCACAGGTCTATGTTATGGTTTAGAAAACAAGACATATATTTTGTTTTCTTTTGAAACTCAATTTGTTTTTTCTATAAGCATTTTGAGGATTGTTAACTTTATATTCCAGGATTGCAAACATTCCAGAGAAGCTGAATGGACGCGTAGCTGAATTGGCCATGACCTTTATGGAGAAAAGGTCAAAACAACTGAGTACGTTTGTTGAAATATTTATCAGAGATATCACACTAGAGGTAAGTTATCAGTTATCCACTCTTTTCATACATCTACAGGATCATCAGCATGTCTGTGTCCACTCTTTGGAAAACATACAGGGAAAGCTCAGTTCGAAGTTCACCTGTCCTTTTTTAGCTCACCGGCCCCAAAGGGCCAAGTGAGCTTATGCCGTGGTGCAGCGTCCGTCGTCCGTCCGTCCGGCGTCAATATTTTACTTTAAACGACTTCTTCTTAATAACCAAAAGATCTAGGGTGATTATATTTGGCCAGTAGCATGCTGGGATGAAGGGCTACCAAATTTGTTAAAATGAATGACCTTGTCCCACTTGCAAGGTCACAAGGGTCAAATGTAAAATCCAGGGAAGTAATTCAATTTGGGTTAGCATTATCAGCATTGGATAGCAGTTTGATGGTATGCACATATTAGCCCTGACTGACCCCCAGGGGCTGATGGGATCCAAAAAGGATCAAATTTACTAAAATTTCAAAAATCCTCTTCTCAAGACCCAAATATGGTAGAATCAAATACTCTTCATAGATGGAAGGGTCTTAAGGTGCATTACCAAAATTGTGAATTTCATGACCCTGGGGTCTTACGTTTCCCCCTGGGGAGGGGTTAAATTTTACTTTGGTTTATATAGGGATATCACATTTTGGGTCAACATTTGTTTAATTTCCATTGGAATTAATTCAAACTTCGTTAACATTATCAGTATTGGATAGAAGTTTGATGGTATGCACATAGCAGCCATGACTGACCACCAGGGGCTGATGGGTGGGACAAAAAAGGTTGAATTGACTGAAATTTCAAAAATCTTCTTCTCAAGACCAAGATATGGGAGAATCAAATACTCTTCATAGATGGAAGCTAACTGGGTCTTTGCATTACCAAAATTGTGAATTTCGTGACTCTGGGGTCTCACGTTTCCCCCTGTGGAGGGGGTAAACTTCACTATAGTTTAATTGTGAATTATATGGTCCCCATTATATTGCGGGGCCAAAAAGGATCAAATTGACTAAAATTTCAAAAATCCTCTTCTCAAGACCCAAATATGGTAGAATCAAATACTCTTCATAGATGGAAGGGTCTTAAGGTGCTTTACCATAATTCAGCTGACTGACAGAATCACTATTTGTACATAGTACATATACTACCCAGATCTTTCACACTACTTTTGCATTAATTGTAGATTAAGTTACCTTTGTTAAAAAAAAAAAAATTCATTTGGCAACATCGATAACATCGGTTTTTACATAACTCAGGTGACCGCTAAGGCCCATGGGCCTCTTGTTCTCCTTTGAAATACCTATATACTGTAGATCATCATTATAGGGGTATATTGTAAGATAAGCTTTTTTCTTCTAGTTTTCCATTTATGTTATAAATAATCTATATAATATGTATATGATAATCTATGCATTTCAAAATTTCATTTAAGACTTTCCCGCCCAATGTTTATCAATTTGCTTGGAATTTCTTTGCATGCACAAAATATCACTTGACCTCTAAGTAGAATAAACATCTTAAACAGTGAATCCGTTTCCAACCAGTGAAATTGCTCAGCTTAAAATATTGAACAAAGGATTAATATTTTAAAACAGTCATTCACCGATGCCTTGTTAAATTTTAGGGAAACCAGGATGTGATTCCTGGCCTGATGAAGAGATTTGCAGTACTCTTCTATGACAGAGACTACATGTACATGTTGGATGATTATAACAAATCTTTGATTGGATGCAGCTTCATGGGGACTGCCATCAACGCTTACAGGTATATAACCAGTATTAAAAAGTCGGGTATGTCATAATTATCAACAATTACAAAAATTGACAACAAATTTAATATGAGAAAAAAAAAATCAAGAACAGGGAAAACAAGTCACTGAAAGAAAAAAAGTATCACAACAAGACGTGCCTACAAAACAATAAAGTCTCGGGTTTTACTGCACAACATTTGGTATCAATCATGATGTCTGCTAGCCGACAAATAAAGGAACTTTTGTTGATCTCTGTAGGATGTTGGACAGACAATAATGAACAGAATTTAAACCATGGCATATGTATTGAATTATGTATATGAACATCAGGTCCTAATATGATTGTGTCAAATGTCAACAGATTATGTCATGTCTCACAGATTGTGTCTTGTGTCTAGATATTGTGTCTTGTGTCTACAGATTGTGTCTTGTGTCTACAGATTGTGTCTACAGATTGTGTCTTGTGTCTACAGATTGTGTCGTGTGTCACAGATTGTGTCTCATGGATACAGTTTGTGTCTTTTGTCTAAAGATTGTATCATGTGTCTAGGTATTGTGTCTCATGTATACAGATTAAGTCTAGATCTTGTTTGTTCATTTTGTGTTTTGTGTATCCAGATTGTGTCTTGTGTCTACAGATTGTGTCTTGTGTCTACAGATTGTTTCTTGTGTCTACAGATTGTGTCTTGAGTCTACAGACTGTTTCGTGTGTGTACAGATTGTGCCTTGTGTCTACAGCTTGTGTATACAGATTGTATCTTGTGTCTATAGATTGTGTCATGTGTCTATAGGTTGTGTCTTGTGTCTATAGATTGCGTCATCTGTCTATAGACTGCGTCATCTGTCTATAGATTGCGTCATCTGTCTATAGATTGTGTCATGTGTCTATAGATTGCGTCTTGTGTCTATAGATTGCGTCATCTGTCTATAGATTGCGTCATCTGTCTATAGATTGTGTCTTGTGTCTAAAGATTGTGTTTTGTGTCTTTTAATTGTGTCTTGTGTCTACAGATTGTGTTTTGTGTCCAGAGATTGTCTTGTGTCTACAGATTGTGTCATGTGTCTACGGATTGTGTCTGGAGTCTACAGATTGTGTCTTGTGTCTACAGATTGTGTCGTGTGTCACAGATTGTGTCTACAGATTGTGTCATGTGTCTACAGATTGTGTCGTGTGTCTACAGATTGTGTCATGTGTCACAGATTGTGTCTACAGATTGTTTTGTGTGTCACAGATTGTGTCTACAGATTGTGTCTTGTGTCTACAGATTGTGTCGTGTGTCACAGATTGTGTCTTCAGATTGTGTCGTGTGTCTACAGATTGTGTCGTGTGTCACAGATTGTGTCTACAGATTGTGTCGTGTGTCACAGATTGTGTCTCATGGATACAGTTTGTGTCTTTTGTCTAAAGATTGTATCATGTGTCTAGGTATTGTGTCTCATGTATACAGATTAAGTCTAGATTTTGTTTGTTCATTTTGTGTTTTGTGTATCCAGATTGTGTCTTGTGTCTACAGATTGTGTCTTGTGTCTACAGATTGTTTCTTGAGTCTACAGACTGTTTCGTGTGTGTACAGATTGTGCCTTGTGTCTACAGCTTGTGTATACAGATTGTATCTTGTGTCTATAGATTGTGTCATGTGTCTATAGATTGTGTCTTGTGTCTATAGATTGCATCATCTGTCTATAGATTGCGTCACCTGTCTATAGATTGCGTCATCTGTCTATAGATTGTGTCATCTGTCTATAGATTGTGTCTTGTGTCTACAGATTATGTCATGTGTCTATAGATTGTGTCATGTGTCAAAAGATTGTGTTTTGTGTCCAGAGATTGTGTCTTGTGTCTACAGATTGTGTCATGTGTCTACGGATTGTGTCTGAAGTCTACAGATTGTGTCTCGTGTCTACAGATTGTTTTTGTTGTCTACAGATTGTGTCATGTGTCTACAGATTGTGTCATGTGTCTACAGATTGTGTCGTGTGTCTACAGATTGTGTCTACAGATTGTGTATCATGTATACAGATTGTGTCATGTTTCTTCAGATTGTGTCATGGGTCTACAAATTGTCATGTATCTACATATTGTGTCTTGTGTCCACAGAATGAGTTTCATGTATACAGATTGTGTCATGTGTCTACAGATTATGTCATATGTCGACAGATTATGTCATATGTCTTCAGATTGTTTCTTGTGTCTACAGATTATTTCTTGTGTCTACAGATTGTGTGTTGTTTACAGATTGTGTCATGTGTCTACAGATTGCGTTGTGTGTACAGATTGTGTCTTGTGTCTACAGATTGTGTCTTGTATCTATATATTTTGTCTTGTGTCGACAGATTGTGTCATGTGTCCACAGATTGTGTCTTGTGTCTTAAGATCGAGTCATGTGTCTACAGATTGTATCATGTGTCTATAGATTGTGTCAACAGATTGTGTCATGTGTCCACAGATCGGTTTTTAGCTCACCTGGTCCGAAGGGCCATGGTGAGCTTATACCATACCGCAGCGTCTGTCGTCCGTCGTCCGTCCGTCTGTCAACTTTTCCTTTAAAACGCTACTAGTCATGAACGACTGAGCAGATGTTGACCAAATTTGGTCAGAAGCATCCTTGGGGAGAGGGGAACTAATTTTGTATAAATGGTGGGTCTGGCCCCCCCTGAGGGCTGAGGGGCGGGGCCCAATAGGGGAAATATAGCAAATTCTTTAAAATCCTTCGTCTTCTGTAGGAATGAAAGGATTTGTTTCATATTTGATCTTAAGCATCCTTGGGAAAAGGGGAATGAATTTTGTATAAGCCGTGGGTCTGGCCCCCCTTGGGGCTGAGGGGCGGGGCCCATTAGGGTAAATATAGCAAATTCTTTAAAAGCCTTCTTCTTCTGTAGGAATGAAAGGATTTGTTCCATATTTGGTCAGAGGCTTCCTTGGGTGAAGGGGAACTAATTTTGTATAAACCGTGGGTGTGGCCCCCCAGGGGCATGCGGGGCGGGGCCCAATAGGGGAAATATAGCAAATTCTTTACCATCCTTCTTCTTCTGTAGGAATGAAAGAATTTGTTCCATATTTGGTCTGAGGCATCCTTAGGTGAAGGGGAACCAATTTTGTATAAACCGTGGGTATGGCCCCTAGGGGCCTGAGAGGCCCGGCCAAATAGGGGAAACATAGCAAATTATTCTTTAAAATCCTTCTCCTTCTGTAGGAATGACGAGATTTTGTCCATATTTGGTCTGAAGCCTCCTAAGGTAAAGGGGAACCAATTTTGTATAAACCGTGGGTCTGCCACCCCCAGGGGCCTGAGAGGCGGGGCCAAATAGGGGAAACATAGCAGATTATTCTCTTAAATCCTTCTTCTGTAGGAATTGGTCCATATTTGGTGTGGAGCATCCTTGGTAAAGGGGAACCAATTTTGTATAAACGGTGGGTGTGGCCCCTCTGGGACCTGAGGGGCGGGGCCCAATAGGGGAAATATAGCTAAAACCTTTATAATCCCAATTTTACCATAGGGATAAAGGGATATCTTCCTAATTTAGTCTGGAACATCCTTAGGCAAAAGGAACTCAATTCCGTATAAACAGCTAGTGTGGCCCCCCTGTGGGCAGAAGGGAGGGGCCTAATAGGGGAAACATAGGAAATTTTTCAAAATCCTTCTTCTTCTGTAGGAATGACAGGATTTTGTCCAAATTTGGTGTGAAGCAGCCTTGGGTAAAGGGGAAACAATTTTGTATAAGCAGTGGGTGTGGTCTCCCAGGGGGCAGAAGGGCGGGGCTCAATTGGAGAAATAGAGGTAAAACCTTTAAAACCCTACTTCGACCATTGGGATTATGGGATTTTATCCTTATTTAGTCTGGAGCATCAATGGACCAAGGGGACTCAATTTTGTATAAATGGTGGGTATGACCCCCTAGGTTGCATAGGGGTGGGGCTCTGTTTGAAGTTTGTTCTCGCTATATCTGAAGTACTGGATTGATCTTTCTGAAATTTCATATGTATTTACAGCACCTACTTCATACCAATTATTTCAAACATATTCAGGTGAGCGATACAGGCCCTCTGGGCCTCTTGTTTTGTCTACAGATTGTGTCATGTGTCTACAGATTGTGTATCCTGTATACCGATTTTGTCATGTGTCTACAGATTGTGTGTTTTTTCTTTAAACTGCCATGTGTCTTAAGATTGTTTTTTAAGACATGTTGATGTGCTATTTCACATGTATAAGGGAACTTGTCTGATACAGTTAAAATTAGCGGCTGTCTTTGATGACGTTTTGATTAATTTTGTTGTGTTGGTTTCAGCACTGGAAAAGATATACCAGATGAAGTCAACAAGACGTTGGTAGAGATGTTTTTGTGGGTGATGCAGACAGAGGATTTGAAGTACAGGGGTTACAAACGTATCAACAGAACTATGTATGGCCGTACAGCCATTGATTTCTTGTTGATGTTTACGACAAAAGTAAGAATTTTAGTCCATTATATACTTTGAATATTTTTAGAATGAATGAATTTTAACAATCACATATTTGTAGTGGACTCTTGTATATATGCATAGTTTGTTTATGAATCGATCATGTGTTGATCATGTATGCTGTTTTGTTGGTGACTTTTTTAGCTCACCTGGCCCATCCGGCGTCCGTCAACTTTTTCCTTTAAAATGCTACTTGTCCTGAATGGCTCAGAGGATTTTGACCAAATTTGGTCAGGAGCATCATTGGCCAAAGGGTTCTCAGTTTTGTATAAACGGAGGGTATAACCCCCCTGGGGGCAGAGGGGCGGGGCCAAATAGGGGGAAAATAGGTAAATCTTTAAAAATCTTCTTCTTCTCAACCAATAGAAGGATTTTGACCAAATTTGTCCTAGAGCATCTTTGGACAAAGGAGACTCAAGTTTGTATAAACGGAGGGTGTGGCCTCTTTGGGGGCAGAGGGGCGGGGCCAAATAGGGGAAGTAGAGGATTTTTTCTCTCCTACTATACAAGTGAAGGGATTTAAACCAAATGCAGTCTGAAGCTTGGTCAGGAGCATCATTGGCCAAAGGGTTCTCAGTTTTGTATAAACGGACGGTATAGCCCCCCCTCGGGGCAGAGGGGCGGGGCTAAATAAGGGGAAAAAAGGTAAATCTTTAAAAATGTTCTTCTTCTCAACCAATTGAAGGATTTTGACCAAATTTGTCCTAGAGCATCTTTGGACAAAGAAGACTCAAGTTTGTATAAACGGAGGGTGTGGCCCCTCTGGGGGCGGAGGGGCGGGGCCCAATAGGGGAAATAGAGGATTTTTTTTCTCCTGCTATACAAGTGAAGGGATTTTAACCAAATGCAGTCTGAAGCATGATTAGGGACAAAAGAATCAATTTTGTATAAACTGAGGTGTGTGGGCCTCCTTCTAAGGGCAGATGGGTGGGGCCCATTAGGGGAAATAGAGGAAAACATCAAATATCCTTCTCCTTTTGTACCGATGAAGGGATTTTGACCAAATTTGGTCTGGAGCATCATTGGCCAAAGGGTTCTCAGTTTTGTATGAACGGAGGGTATGGTCCCCCTGGGGGCAGAGGGACGGGGCCAAATAGGGGAAAATAGGTAAATCTTTAAAAATCTTCTCCTCAACCAATTGAAGGATTTTGACCAAATTTGTCCTAGAGCATCTTTGGACAAAGGAGACTCAAGTTTGTATAAACGGAGGGTGTGGGCCTTCTGGCGGCATAGGAGCGGGGCCCAATAGGGGAAATAGAGGATTTTTTTTCTCCTACTATACAAGTGAAGGGATTTAAACCAAATGCAGTCTGAAGCATGCTTAGGGAGAAAAGAATCAATTTTGTTTAAACTGAGGTGTGTGGATTCCCCTTCTTTGGGGCAGATTAGTGGGGCCCATTAGGGGAAATAGAGGAAAACATTAAAGATCCTTCTCCTTCTGTACCGTTGAAGGGATTTTAACCTAACCAAACTTGTTTTAGAGAATCTTTGGGCAAAGGGAATTGAATATTTATAAATGGAAGATGCAACTTTGTTACTTGTACTCCTTTGATAAACCTGAATGGTACTCAGCAGGTTTTAAATTGAAAAATAAAATACCAGGTGAGCTATTAAGGCCCCTGGGCCTCTTGTTTTAATCCCAGTGTTAAAAATATTCCAGTTTTACATAAGTAAGAATGTGAGAGTGGAAAGAGCACTACAGGAGAGCTTGTCTGAGAAAGATAGTCTATTGACTAGAATTCAACCTAAAAACCAGATGTTTTAAATCCTGAAATAATTTCATTCATGGCTTGATATATCAGAGCAGTCAAGTTTGGATGACACAGATGATACGTCATAGTAAATATAAGGTCAGTTCCAACAGGTATTGGGGACGCGGTGGCCAAGTGATTAAGGCGTGACGTCTGACCGTCTATGATCACTAACCCTCCACCACTGGGTCGCGTATTTGATACCTACGTCGGGCAGTCGCCAAGTACTGGCCACAGGCTGTTGGTTTTTCTCAGAGTGCTCCAGCTTTCCTTCACCACCATAACCTGGCTTGTCCTTAAATGACCATATCTGTAAAAAGGATGTAAAACACACAAAAATAATTCAAAAGGGGAGACAACTCATAAGCTGTAATTAACATAAATGGTCAGAGAGGCATCAGCAGTACCAGAGGAAGTGTATTTGTTGGATCTTTCTGTGGAGGTTAATCACCAACAGACATTGTATAAAGAAGGATCTAGACACCAGGTGCAGAGTTCACACAGTCATAGGGCATCTTACATAACAAGGGTGTTCAGAAAATACTCATGGATTTTGAAGGTAAATATCTGCTCAAGGAAGAAGACAAAACTGAGTTGGTTGTGAGGGACACTTTAAATATGCATGTAAATGTCAGTAGAGGACCAAGATTACCTTCTTGTATGGAAATTAAAGACAACATAATAGTAGAATCAGATCAGATGGCAGGGAGGATTCGGGCCTGTCACTTGGCATTTGGAATGTCAATGTACGCACCAGCAGCACACACATTTGTGAATTTGCAATCCCTAACAGGTCTTGTGGAGGTCTGGACTCTCAAGTCGCCATGAATCAATGACCTCATTATTGGAGGTGTCAAGAGTGTATGAGATACCTTAGTTTCAAGATTGAGAATGGAAAGTTAAACAACCTTTCGTGCAAGACAAAGAAGCTAAAAAGCTCAACGAACTGTGAAAGAAAATACAAAATATAAACCTTCAATGTAGGTAAAGGAAGGCGGTACCGTTACCAGAACGTGTAATCGAGAGATTCGCAGAGGGGGTGGTTGATATATTCAGGTATGGTAGTATTCCCTCAGATATTACCCTACTTGAGGGTTCAATAAACCTGGGAAGTGACAAGGAAAGTGAGTAGACTACTTTCTTTTTGGCCATTGACTACGACACCATACCACCTGGTGTGTAATGGAATAATTCAATGGGTCTGCACAGAGAGATGCAAAGATTTGGACATATGGATAAATGAACTCCTGTTAACTGATTAGTAACAAGACTCTACGGGTGTCTAGAAGACGCCAAATATTGTGATTTATATAAGAAAAAAGCAAAACTTCTAACCCTTAGGCTAACAAAGTAATTTAAATTTCTCTGACCAGGAAAATCAAGCTCATGCTGCAATTGCAAAAGAATTTACAAGTTAAAGAATGTCTAGGACTGATTGACTTTAGACTTTGGTAACACGGGGGCAATGTCGACCTGCTAAAGGAATACTGCAAGAGAAGGAAGGAGCACAAGATAGAGACCACATGGATGCTGCGCATGACGAGGATCGAGTTTCTCGATGTGCTTAACAACATCCTAGAACAAATCTTATTTGCAAAACTGCAAACTAAACTGCAAAGATTGTGTTTATCACTTCAGTGGATAAGTGTTTCGATCAAGCATTACAACTATGGGCAGCTGTATATCTTACATAACACTGAACTTGTACAATGCATATCTGGTAAGACACTAAACTTGTAAAATGTGTAATTTATATCTGGTAAGACACTAAATTTGTAAAATGTGTAATTTATATCTGGTATAACACTGACCATAAACCATTACTATTCCTTTTAAGAAATTTGTGAACCTTGAATGAGTTATACCTATGCTGAATGAGCATCATAATTACTTGTTCTTGAACTACAAGAACAATTTAGATTTATGATTGGTGTTTCCTGAAAACGAGAGCAATGTGTATGGTATTTTAACGAAATACCATGCATATCGTCATCCTATTTAAGTCTCATCCAAGAGATATACAGTTTTAAGGTTGAAATGAAGTATTTAAAGTATAAAACTAACTCTTGAGATTTTTAGGTCACCTGAGACAAAGTTTCAAGTGACCTATTGCGATCGCCTTTTGTCCGTCGTACGTCCGTAAACAATTTACATTTTCGACTTCTTCTCCAAAACCCCTGAACCAATTTCAATGAAATTTTGCAAGGACCTTCCATGGACAAAGGTCAACAAAAAGAGTGGCCGGTTTAGTCCCAAGCCCCCAGGGGCCTGAGGGGCGGGGCCAAAAAGGGTCAAATTGACTAAAATTTCAAAAATCTTCTCCTACCCCCAAGGGCTGTAGGGTGAGGCTCAAAGGAGTCAGTGTGCTAAAATTTCTTCATTTTCCTTGTTTAGAATCAGAGGTGCTAGTTTCAAATACTTTTTAGTCTGAAATCTGTATGCCAGATATTGAATAAGGTGGTTTCATTGTTTTTTGTCACTTTGAATAATATTTCTGTTTTAAGGTTGAAATGAAGTATTTAAAGTATAAAACTAACTCTTGAGATTTTTAGGTCACCTGAGACAAAGTTTCAAGTGACCTATTGCGATCGCCTTTTGTCCGTCGTACGTCCGTAAACAATTTACATTTTCGACTTCTTCTCCAAAACCCCTGAACCAATTTCAATGAAATTTTGCAAGGACCTTCCATGGACAAAGGTCAACAAAAAGAGTGGCCGGTTTAGTCCCAAGCCCCCAGGGGCCTGAGGGGCGGGGCCAAAAAGGGTCAAATTGACTAAAATTTCAAAAATCTTCTCCTACCCCCAAGGGCTGTAGGGTGAGGCTCAAAGGAGTCAGTGTGCTAAAATTTCTTCATTTTCCTTGTTTAGAATCAGAGGTGCTAGTTTCAAATACTTTTTAGTCTGAAATCTGTATGCCAGATATTGAATAAGGTGGTTTCATTGTTTTTTGTCACTTTGAATAATATTTCTGTTTTAAGGTTGAAATGAAGTATTTAAAGTATAAAACTAACTCTTGAGATTTTTAGGTCACCTGAGACAAAGTTTCAAGTGACCTATTGCGATCGCCTTTTGTCCGTCGTACGTCCGTAAACAATTTACATTTTCGACTTCTTCTCCAAAACCCCTGAACCAATTTCAATGAAATTTTGCAAGGACCTTCCATGGACAAAGGTCAACAAAAAGAGTGGCCGGTTTAGTCCCAAGCCCCCAGGGGCCTGAGGGGCGGGGCCAAAAAGGGTCAAATTGACTAAAATTTCAAAAATCTTCTCCTACCCCCAAGGGCTGTAGGGTGAGGCTCAAAGGAGTCAGTGTGCTAAAATTTCTTCATTTTCCTTGTTTAGAATCAGAGGTGCTAGTTTCAAATACTTTTTAGTCTGAAATCTGTATGCCAGATATTGAATAAGGTGGTTTCATTGTTTTTTGTCACTTTGAATAATATTTCTGTTCATGTTAAAAACAAAATCAACTCTCTGTATAAATATATCAGGTGACTGTTAAGGCCCATGGGCCTCTTGTTTTCCAATTTCTAGCATAGTGGGGGACACACGTCTGACGTATTATTGCCACTGATGCCGGCCCTAGTGAAACAAATGAAACACCAGGAGAAAGAGCTTGTGGAGATGAGTCAGTACATTGTCTGTATGATAAGCACAAATGACTACAAATTACTGGAGGGACATCTGGAGGCTCTCGTCGAGTGGTACAAAGAAACACAATCCGATACTGCATTGAGTATGTACAACTTTCACATCACAGAAAACGATGATAAATTATAGCTCGCCTTTTCGGAGAATAGGGGGGCTATTGTAGTTATCCCAACGTCGGCGTCCCACTTCAGCGAGGTTAAATTTTTTGGGCAAGTTTTTGTGAAGTGTAGCACCACCATCAATAGGCTGCTCTTTTATATAAGGTTGAAGTATTTATATGGAGTGTAAACAATGTTCTAAAACATGTTTTCCTATTTCAAGTGGCCAAAACTGGTTAGTTGGACTTTGTTAAAGATTATTGGCAAGTTTGCAGGTGCAGTGTCGGATTGGTCACCCCCATCAATACACTGTTGACTATTTCACATTGTCTGGTCATCTCTCCTTTCGACATGTACAACATGTTAAGGTACCGCAAAACTTTGTCATATTGGCACCATTAAGAAATGCCGGCATTATAAAGGGGTTTGGCAATAAATTGAGGGAAATGTAGAAAGGAATTCTTCAGAAAAACATAATTAAGGGTCCTGGAAATATATTGGCGGTAAGTGAGATGGCAAATGAAATGATTTTGGTGATGGTTTTACTGTACATGTGTTGATATTTGCTATTTTACAACATATATCACCAATAGGCGAGCTATGCTGTTCTCCAACAGCTCTTGTTAACCCTGCCAACACTCTGGTATAGACAAGTAGATTTTGTTAAACATTGTTGATGCTATCTTTGGACTTGGTAATCACTTTGTTGATTGATCTCTCTATAATACAGTTGGTTGTTAAGTCATAACTTCAAACGACACTTGTACCATAAGGTTTAAACTTGATGCTGACTGTATATGCTTGTTCACTAACATTCGTTAGATTAAACAATGATTGTTAGTAATACCAGGGCAAGAATAATCAATATGTTTTCATCCATAATAACGAATCCACATGATAGAAAGTCACAGTATTCAAATTGCAGCTTTCAACCAATCAATAGCCAGAATTTAGAAATTGGAACATCAGATCATATTTATGATCATTCATAACACACTTGTTTCCTTTCTTTTCATTTGATACATTTTTAGGAGCACTATGGAAGCCCCTCGAGGAAAGTGATGGTTTTACAACTCCAGATTTTTATGTGGTTATGAAATCTATAGCGGAGGACACTAGCAGTTCCAAAGCCTATTTACACGGAATGCTGTTAAAGTTAATGGCTGAAAGACAAGCTGAGGTAGGAAATATCAGGAGTATAATCTTCAATAGCTATGTCAAAGGTTAATTTTCATGTCAGAGGTCAAATCATCTATAACTACCTGTCACCATCAAATTACTATTACATGATGTTTTTTTTCTTTTGATTTTCACTATTCTAGCTGTTCACTCAGGAACATGTTGACATGATGATTAGGAGGTTTCTAGACGAGAAGCAATCACAAGGCAGTGTTTTAATGGCTCTTGGTGAAATAATAGCCATTAAACCCGAGATATTTGGAGACAACATGATCAAACACCTCTTACAGAATCCAAACTTAGATGTCGTGAATGCTTTTTCGGTCCACGTGATAGCTGTCAACTTGGGATTGAAGAAAAAGGTGTGTTCTTCCTTCTATTCTGATTTATTGGTATTCTGACATTTAAATGTAAATGTGTGACTTTAGGTCTATCTACCTAACTGTATCGAATATTAATAGTAACTCATGTGTACACGTGTAATTATGATACTTAATAACTATATTTATGTTTTGTTTGTGTGTGTCTGTGTCGGTGTGTGTATGTCCTATGTTGTATTGTAAATAATCAAAAGTGATTTACCTCCCTATAATTACTTTATCGTTTACATTTATGTATTTTCATCCAAAATATCTAAAAATATATTTAGCTATATTTCTGTAATATTATTGTAATACTCTAGCGACCTATGGAAAGAATTTAAATAGGCTTGCCTGTTATTTAATCCATTTGACCCTAACACCATGTCAATCAAATCTGTTGAAATGAAATGTAAATGTATTTAATTTACACACAAGGTATACGTGGATGTATCAACAATAAATAATTTCACACTTGAAGTGTGCCGCAATTAATCATGGAACACGTCTTTCTGTTAAATGTTAACATTTGGGCACCCAGTAGTAGTCACGTTGTCTGTCTGTCTATATACATATCAAATTATTTTCTAGAAGACAACTGAAGTTCAGATACTACGATTATGTTTAAACTTTACATGTATGATGTAAACAGCTTTCTTGATTTTGTCACCGTTCCTATAAATAGAAAAAATCATTATCATTGCTTGAGTGATTTTGATTTTTGATGCATATCTATGAGATTTTCCACAAATAATGTGTGTTGATCATCATCAAAAGAACATCCCTATTATTGTTTTGAACATATGACCTCCAAATACATGGGTCTGTATAGAGTCAAATTTATTGTGACTGTAAATTGAAAATATTTTCCTTAACTATGCTGTATAAAGATGTTCTAACGCAAATCTGATGCATATAGCAAACCTTATATTATGATCTTTTTCAGCACTCTTATAATTGGTAATAAATCAATTATTCAAAGAGAATGATTCACACACACATATATATATGGCAAATATTTATCATTGAAACAATACTTTTTTATCCAAAATTGTTCCTGTTTTTATATAAATTCTAAGTTACCGGGTACACATGAATTAAATAACTGTCGTCATTTCAATTTATAGGATTTAGTCAACACCATTTTTGAAGAGCTTCTTGCCCTGGCAAAATGTTGGTATAATCCAAATCATCAGATTTATCTGTTAGACTCTGTCCGCATTCTAGGGTCTAAATATGGTGTAGAAACACTTAGACCTCATCGAAAATTCTTTGAAGAGTTGCAGAAATATGGAATGACTTCCCCTATCAAAGATACGTCAGCTGCTATTGTAAACGCAATGGATGGAATCAGGTAATCAACTGAATTGCTCTAAACTGTAAACAATTGGGACCCGTTTGTTCAGCGCCTGATAAGCTTATAACAAGACAACACAAATTTCAAAATTACTATTTCCGAGAAGTATCTGGTATTTAGAATTTGTTTAGGTTTTGTCTTCAGGGGGTCATTCAAAAACTATAAGTATATCATTTTAATTAAGAATTTCAAAAGTTTGTAAATATACTAGATTGAAGGTTCACCATATCTACAAACAAGGTTTAAATGTGGACTTTATATTGCAGCGATTGCAATTTGTTTTCTATTTTCACAATTTTAATAGGCATTTTGTCACCTGAATTGATAGTCATTTGTGAAGTAAGTTATATGTTTTTTTTGTGAAATGGAAAGAATAGCTTGCAATAAGATAGTTTGGTTAAACAGTTTGGTTAAACTACCATTTATAAATTTTAATACACAATAGAACACTTACACACAAAAGATTAAACAAGATTTGAAATCCTTGTCAATAATCAGTGCGTTCAAGGTGGAAATAAACAACAGTGCAGTAAGGGCCACATATCAGTGAAAAGTGTTCCTTCTCTTTCAGTATGGAGGGTGTCATCACAGATGTTATACAAACAAAGAGGAAGGCCAAAGTCCTTGATGAGAAAGTCAAAAAGGCAGAAACAGAAGTTAGTGGAATGAAAACAACAGTTGTTAAACAAAGCAAAGACATCAAAGCTGCTGAGACTGGGCTTAAAACCATTGAAAAAAGGGTAGATGTTCAAGAGGAAAAAAAACCGGATTATGCAGATATTGCAAGGACACCAGAGGGAAAAGAAGAAGCACACCAACTGGAAGAAACACAAGCTTGTACTCAAAAGGTGTCGCTACCTAAATCTGCGGAGAAAAATAAAGATGAACAAGCAAAATGTCTAGAAGACGATGAAGAAGAAGAAGATGATAAAAATGAAGAAGAAGGAAAAGAACCAGAGGAAGAGTTACCACCATCGTACGATTCGTTGTTTTCACAAGCTTCAAGTACACAAACTACAACAAAAATGAAACCTTCACCCAAGTCTGCGCCTCAATCAAGAGAGAAATCTTCACAACCTCCACCACCACCATATCCGTACCGCCATCTATATGTAGATACTCCATCACAGCCTACCACAGAACCAGAACCAGAACCAGAAAACAAAAAAAAATCATCCGCATGTGTAATTGCTTGAGGCCTTTGTTGCTGGATATAGAGGATAATTGAACATATTTCTATTTGGAAAAAGTTTTAACCTCGCTAAACCTTCCCACGGAAAATGTTAAATTGTGTCGGTGTTAGAAACAGAGTCTTAATATAGTTTGGATTTTTAATGCATATTTTGGTGAATTGTTCAACAACTTGTTTGTCTACATATCGTCTGCTACATGTTTGTAAATACTACCAGAAAGAACTGGAGCATACTGTATACCAGGACATTTTCGCTGCAGTATAATTTTTCACCCTTCGTTATGGGTTCGAATTTATCAATACAGTGAATTACAGTAAACAGCATAATAAAAATAGTATTAGTGAAATTAGTGAAATTGACACTGGGCGAAAATTGATATGGGCGATCTGTCATTAACAATGAGCAAACAAATATGGATCTTCCCTGTTAATATCAACTACAGTATATCTAGTTTCAATCTACTGTATCTTGGATGTGTGTAAACAAGAATTCAACGACAGAGTGTTAAGTTTAATTTAATATTACACGTTTAGAGTCATGTATGTTTCTATAAGCTAGTTGTTGCACTTTGTTTACCTTTGTGGAACGCCTGGCTATTTGTGGAGGGGGATGATACATGATGTCATTGCTCTTTATTTTGATGACTTCTTAGTTCGTCTATTTGTCCATAGTTTTTGCGTTGTGTGTTGACGTAGTGGTACATATTTTTCTTTTACTTTCTTCAAGAAAGTGTTCATAACTCCGTCGTTTTGTACGCATCCGTGTAATATCCCCATCTATCATTGCCTTGTATCAAATCCTTTGTATGCTTCTATTTATTTTGTTTACTTAATAATTGTTTATAAAATTAACATGCAGTTTATAAAATTAACATGCAATTTGAGCTCAAAGTGATTATACAAATGCTGTATAATTTGTGTGTACACTATATAAAAGAAATGTGATCTTTTTTACATTTTTTGTACTTTTTTCTTCTGTTAACTGTTTGTTTGTTTTCACAAAACCCTGGTGTTCATTTTGCTTCGCGAGGTAGGTCTGGAGTAGTAGGTGAAATACCTTCGGAAAGTAGCCCCTGTCTTAAAAATAATTTATCTTTTCGTATAATTTTAAAGCCTTTTTTTTCAGATTTTAGAATTGATATATGTAAGTCGTTTTTATGATATCATTATGTTCGATCATATCTTAAATGTGAGTTTTTTTAATCAAATATGAAATATGGCTGCTAGAGTGTCGTATAATGTGATGATATTTATCGTATTTATATCAATTAATATATCAATATATTTGATGAATTTACACCTTGAAATGAATTATTTTCGATAGCTATTAATGTTTTGCAATTTTTCACAAACTTGTATTTAGAGATATATTCAGTACTGACTTGATTCCAGCAAAGTGCTAAATCGTCATTCAGGCAGGATCCTAGTTTGTTGTCAATACACGATTTGACCTCGATTTACATCGCAGGTGTACATGTTGTCGATGAAGAAGTAGAATATGGTTACACTTCCAAAACACCGAGCCTTATTATATTGTTTTTAATTTTGAGTTCGAATTATGGTTTTGTTGACACCTCTGTATCCTCTTGTTATTTTTGTCCATTTCTTAAATGACCTCCATGTATTATATATTTTATTTTCTTGAAATCTATTTCCAATTAAGGAGATCAAATGGTTGAGTATCGTAAAACAATTATCAAAGATATTTTTCGTGATAATTATTAATTGATTGAGTTGTTCTGTTCAGAAAGTACTCTGTCTTTCGCTTGATATAACTATTTTCGAGTAATTTACATTTGAGCTAGCTTGTGGTTTCAAAACTACAACGTAATATATACGTGTTGAATAAGCCGCGAATCGAAAACCCCACCAATAAGTACAGGGAGGTTTGTTCCTGAGGTTAAGTTTTTATCAATATTACACATGATAATATCTGTTTTATCATTTTATTATAAATGCAATGTGATTCTTTATCGTGAGACAAGATCATTATTGCTTCGTTCTCAAATATTTATGTATAGCGGTTTTTTGACCCAGACAGTAGTAATACTTTGGTACTGATATTAATACTTAGGAGTATAATTCAACATAGTTTTTCTAAGGATTGTCATTATGTGTTATTTTTATATAATTACATATTTTTAAAAAATCAGATCTACATTTACAAAACGTTAGAAATTGTATACTTTCGTGCCATAATATATATTTATTATATTTCTTTTTGACATTCTAATGCATTTTTTGTGTTATACACATGCATTTTACATTCCGTACGGTATCGCAAGCTAAGTGATAATGAACAGATGATGAAACATGTATATATGATTTATCGACAATGTTGTCTTGTCATTATATTTTTTATCAACAATGTTGCCTTGTGTCATGATAAGGTAAAGGATACCAGAAATTTAAACTTTATTATTACCATTTTCACTATCATGAAAAATTTGTTCAGGTGCTTTTTAAAAGTAGCATTCCTTAAAAATCGCACTTTGCCATGCATTTTACAAACTTATAGTTGTCCAAAGTTTGAATGTTTGAAACTACAGGGTCATACCCGGTACGTTGCCATTGTAAACCCTATACTTTATCTATTCTGCCATCCAGGATTTTTTCTTGCACTGCTTCAAAATGAGTATCCCATTAATAAACCGCATATTCTAGGGCAATAAGCCAGAAAAAAAATGTATGAGAGGAACTCTTCTTCGCGATGAAAACTGATGCATTGGTACCCTTTACCTTATCATATAGTGAAATTAACGTACAACGCTGTTTACCTCTCACAGAATTCATGGCATGAAACTGTTAAAACAAGTTGTGGATGTACCGTAGATATTTCCTCACTATTCATGGTGTATGTGAAATATTTGTTCTTATCACACGTTAACTGCTGGATTTGTTGAAATTTACTTCATTATCAGTGACAGTTGTGGGACATACACCAAGTGCATGTAGTGAACAGATTTTTTTTCTAACGCGATTCATGGAATGACATGAATGTTAAAAAAAGATTCATTCCTTAAATATATCAGGAATTAATACAATTATATTTTTCGAAAGGAGGAGTGCCAATTAAGGCCTTCTGGGGGCTATCTTTAACTTTAAAAAAAAATACGTGAAGTTTCGTAAAAAAAATGTCTATTTGTGATTTTGGTCCCCCACTTTACCCCCTCATATCTTGGAATGGTCTCCAAGCTGACCTTAATTGCATGTCATATCATGATGGCATAACCGCGAGGTATCTACATGTATATACAAAAAATAAAACTTATCGGTGATAGCCACCAGAAGGCCTAAATTGGCACTCCTCCTTTCCCTATTCACGAAAAAATATCCGCCGCCACATGTTTTAAGGTGTAATTGTCGACTTCTAGTATGATGATATCTAGGACCAAGAGTGGGACGTTGTTTACAGATGATATATATTTATATTGAAACATTAAAACTTCCATAAAAAGAATATAACATAACTTACAATTTGAAATGTTTATAATGAGACAACATGACGACCGAACAAAAGTCGTAGTCTATTAAACATTTACACGTGTCTAATTTTAACATTTCGGAATAAGGTTTTGTTGAAATAAAAAAATATTTAGAAATGCATGTTAAACAACTATTGAAAACATTTTATAAAAAAAATCTAAACAATTGATTGTGGGAAATTATCTGTTTGTTGGACGAGTTCAAAGAGTTAAAATGTAATCATTATTTGTATACCCAATAAATTTGGATTCAAAACGAGACAGTTATTAATGTTGTATCAATATACTACAAACCGTATACATTGCACGTAGAAATAAAGATGTTTGGAACTTAATTGGGGTGTTGTTGTTGTGTTTTTATTGAAATATGCAAACGGACAATATTTTGTATTTTGACATGGTCTCGTTTCATTTTCACATGTATATATATGACAGTCAACAAAATGCATGCTATTTTGATTACTAAAGAGATGCATGTACTTTGGGTTCTCACGATTGTTTGATATAAACTCACAATACTAATACCACCAAATATTAATAAAGGTCACACATATACAGATTCTGTGATATTTCATCACATGATACATGATTGGTTCTGTTTTTTGCAATTAATTTATTTTAATTTTTTATTTTATTTTTCCATTTCTTTCATTACATTGCAAAAAGTACATTCAGGATTTTTCTCTCACTTACATATACATTTCAGCGCTAATTTTACTAACAACCACAAGCACAATTAGAGCACAATGGTCATTCATTCAAGATAACATTTTCTAATTTCATTTTGGTTTTTCATTTCATTCTATTATAAAATATGAAAGCAGTTCATTTGACCTGGAATAATCAAAAGTTCTAGAAATCGAAATCTTTCAAAAGATGAGAACATTTCCTCAAAAGTGTGGATGTGGAGAGGTCTCCCGTGTCATATACTACAGAGTCTGAAGAGTTTGGTTTGGTATGCCATGTTCCGCTGTCGTCTCTTCAGTTTTTCTTCTGCAACCAGTTTCCTCTGCAGTGGTAGAAGGCAGGCTTCCATGTGTAATATAGGCAATAAGATGTAGAATGGAGTCTGTCCCTAAAGATATCGGTCATTGATACGACGATGCCAACCTTCCACGTCATTGTTGGTGCGCACTGGTCACTGGAACACAGACCATGAAGGGATGGTCCAAACACTGCTCGTTATCCATGAGTCGTTGATGTACGTCATCAGCGATCCTAGTGCCGAGCTATTCGGGACATTTTGCTGTAGTTTTGGACAAGAATTGGAAAAAATCAGACTAAAAAGATTAAAAGGTAGTATTATTAGGTCCAAAGTAAAATGGGTGGAAGAAGGGGAGAAACCTACTAACTATTTTTTTAACTTAGAAAATAATCCCAAAGATAGAAAAAGACAATGGTGATATAATAACGAAACAAGAAGAAATTTTAAGTGAAGTTAAACTATTCTATGAAAAATTATATACAATAGATGATGAAATAGAAGAAGTTCATATAGAAGAATTCTTAATAGATTTTGATATTCCAAGGCTGAATAGGTCAGAAGCGTTAAGTTTAGAGGACAAAATTACTATACAGGAAGCAGCACTAATTATGAGAAATATGAAAAGTAAAAGTCCAGGTTCAGACGGTTTTACAGTAGAATTTTGTAAATGCTTTTGGAAACAGTTAAGTAACTTTATAGTACGGTCTATCAATTTTGGTTATACAAAAGGACAATTATCTGTTGCCCAAAGACAAGGAATCATAACATGTTTACCTAAAGGAGAAAAACCTAGACAATTTTTAAAGAACTGGAGACCAATATCCCTTTTAAATGTAACTTATAAAATTGCATCAGGCTGTAAAGCAAGTAGAATAAAAGCAGTGTTGGGTAACTTAATTGATCCAGATCAGACAGGTTTTATTTCTGAGCGATATGTGGGAGAAAACACAAGGTTGATATACGATATTATGGATTACGCAGAGAGAAATTATATACCAGGGATGCTATTGATTATTGATTTTGAGAAAGCGTTCGATACTGTATCTTAGAAATTCATTGATGAAGTACTAAACTATTTTAAATTTGGGGAAGAGGTTAGAAAATTGATAAAAGTTCTACATAAAAATGCAGTTTCTTCAATAAATCAGGGGGGGAAATTTATCAGAATTTTTTGAAATAAGAAAAGGCTGTCGTCAAGGACACCATATATATTTATAATGTGTGCAGAGAAATGATTATGATGATAATGATATTAGTTTGATGATGACAACAGTGTGATTTTGATATTATTGTGAGAATGGCGTTGATTTCAGTCATGATTATGATGATGATAATGATATCAGTTTGATGACGACACCAGTGTGCTTACGATATTATTAGTAATGATGATGATATTAGCTTGATGATGACAAGTGTGATTATGATCGATATCATTGAGAGAATGAGGATGATTTTAGTCGTGATGATGATAATGATAATAATGAAAAAGTTTATGTAAATTGGATGATGATTTTGTGTCATGATGGATATATCAGTGGGATGATAATGATGATGCTGTAAATGATGATGGTAATAATGATGATGATAATGATAATGATGATTTCAGTGTTTAATGTCATGAGGATGATGATAATTATGATGATGATGATGATGATAATGTCTGTTTGGAGTGTCATGACGATGAAATCAGTATGATGATGAGTTTACTGATGTCAGGATGATAACGATGAGGATGATGTCATTGTCATGATAAGGATATTGGAGTGATGATGATGATAACAAAACATTATGAAATGATGAGTGAGTAAATGTGAATGCAGTGAGCGTGCGAATGAGTGTAAGGGAGTATGATAAACAAAAAATGTATCTCTTTATGCATATTGTACCAGACAAACCTTTGAAAAATAAAAATAATACAAAAAAAAATCTTGCTGTAGTTCTTGAAAGGCAGGGAGGACGTGGTCGGCAGGCAAGTATGGTAATGACATCACCTTTATCAGGAACCGGTTGGTTGCAATGTCATTTCTGTAGGCACCAGTAAGACCTGTCTCCTGTATCTTTCGCCAAACTGCCTGGCCAATGTGAAAGGAACAGCCGTGGATGGTGATGGCACCACCAAACACTCTGCGAATGGCCTGCCAAACAGCAACCTTGAAGTCCAACACAAAGCCTCGCACCGCTGGAGCTCCGAGAAGGGTTTATTCACCTTTTTAAGGACTTTCTTGTAGTCTCTCGTGCGCTTGCCGCTCATGAGGATGAAAACCAGAGGGATCTGTTTGACATCGCCGCGCCGCCGGATCTGATGAAGGCATGACTAGTGAATAGCTGTGTAAATAGTCGTCGAACGATCTTAAATGTTAGATCCTTTTTGGTCCTTATGACGCATTGCATGTCGGGCTCGATTTGCCTGTCTCTACAAATACTCTGTCTTTGGACGTGTATCTGGTGGCTGGTCAGGCGCTTCCATCTCTCTGAAGACATCTTGGACGATTACGGCTGCTGACTTAAACACATCTTAACGAACACGGCGCTTTATTTGTATAATATATATATATATACACCTGCTAAGAACTTACCAGAAGGTACCTTGTTAGTTACGATGGACGTCGTTTCCCTCTACACTAACATACCGCATGACGGCGGCATTGCAGCCTGTCGCGAGGCATGGGAACGGCGCAGTACCAAACACCCATCCACTGATAGCCTGGTTGATTTACTGAGACTTGTCCTCACACTTAACAACTCTACATGCAATGAGGATAACTACATACAAGTTAGTGGTACAGCCAAGGGTACTAAGATGGCCTCCTCATATGCCAATGTTTTTATGGGACATCTTGAAGCCCAACTTTTAACATCTGCTCCAATTAAGCCATTTAGCTGGTTGAGATTTATCGATGACGTTGAAATCAAATGGACATCGGGTCGGGACTCCCTTGACGAGTTTATTGAGTACGCCAACGCGTTCCACGCCATCATCAAATTCACAGCGGATATCTCAACGAAGAGCAACACATTTTTGGACACCAGTTCCACTCTGATTGAAGGTAAGATTAGTACGGACCTCCACTGTAAACCTACTGACACACACCAGTATCTCATCCCATCCAGTTGTCACCCCTCGCACACCACGAGAAGCATACCCTACTCCCAAGCTCTGCGCATCAGGCGTATTATTTCGGATGACATCATCTTTGAACGCAGATGTTCAGAGTTAAAGTCCCATCTTCTTGGCAGAGGATACAAATCTACTTTGATAGATCGGGAAATAGACAAAGTGAGGGTACTGGACAGGGCAAGTCTGCTTGTATACAAAGTCAGACCCCATACACAAAGTGTACCTTGTGTAGTCATGTTCCACCCAGACATGCCGCCACTTCCATCTATCTTGAAAAAGCACTGGCGCATCATCGAATCTTCAGCGAAACTTAGGCAGATCTTTCCAGAGTCTCCTATACTGGCATATCGTAGACCTAAACAAATTAGAGAGCTTGTGGTAAGTAGCAAGCTACCTAACCCTGCTGCGGCGAAAGGCTCTTTCAATACCTGTAACAAGGTGTGCAAACTGTGTCCATACACGCGCTCCGCAGATACATTTCAATGTACAATCAACGGCAAAGTGTATCACATACTACAAACGCTGACATGCACATCAGTCAATGTGGTGTACCTTATTACCTGCAATAAATGCAATATACAGTACGTGGGCGAGACCTGCACCCAGCTCAATGTCAGGATCAACAACCACCGCTGCTCCATCAAGCAAAACAAACCAGAC